AGGTTGTGTGGTCTTCAATCTTAAAACTAGAGAAAATATAAAGTAAATGTATAACTTTCAGATATATTCTCAATAATATGACAATTTGTTTTTGGTGCATATTATAAATAATATTTAATATTAATGAAATACAATATTTGTGAATTTAATATTTTAAGTAGTTGTGCTAATACCTCTTTTTGAAGAATTTAGGGGCCTATTAATTAAATGATGAAAATCAATAATTATCTTTTCAATATATTATAGTCTCTTTAAAAAAAATAGATGTTGATATCAGTCTTACAAAAAATAGTTTATTATAAATTAAAAAATAGAAATAATATGCATAAATTACAAAAATCAAAGAAAATATATTTAAATATATATGGTCATTATATATCTAATATCATTTTAAAAATTAAATATGAACATGCCCATATCATGCCCATATATTTATTGTCTTATATATAGAATGGTTTTTATCAGTTTCTGTCGAATGTTGGTATTTGAATTTTTGTTTTGTTTATCTGCAAAATGATACAACCTTATATTTATATAGTGTTCCACTATTAAAGTTATTAATATTTAATAATGGCTAAATGTGGCTTGTTCATAAATTAATAATATTACTTTTTAGGAAAATATGAGTGAAAAATATCATCAAAAGTTCTTTTTAGAAAGATATGAGAAATAATTATCAGAAAATAAGAAAGATGATTCAAAGTATATCTTCTATATGATTTCATAAAAAACCATTATTAATCTTATATATAAAAAAATATGTACTTTGTGAAAAATCTTTTTAAAATAAACTATTTTCAAATAACATCAATCTGGATAATAAAATTAGGATAATATATATTTGTTGTTTTAATTTTAAAATCTTAGAAAATATATAGTATTTTTTAACATGAGAATAATAACATATACGGCTTACCAAAATGGTGGGTTTAACTGATTTGCATTCAACGACACTTTCAAATGTAATATGAATGCATCGTCAGTCTAGGTATTATTATATGTCATAGATATATTCCTTATAACAAAATATTAAAATCTATAAAAACGGCCAAAATAACCTTAGGTTTTTTTATTACCAAGATTATAAACGTCGTGGGGTATTATTTACCCCACCTTTGTAGTAAAGGATTAATAAAATATATTTGTTAAGCGATGAAATCTTTTACAAAAAAAATTTTCAAATCTAAAATGGCCGCCATTATATTTGAAGCGATAATATAATTTATTATTGCTACAAATTTAATATGGCCGCCGATATATTTGAAGCGATCAGTTTATAAGATAAATTTATTTAAATTATAAAGAAATAAAAGGATAATATTTTTAAAACATTTAAGAAAATAAGATTGAGTTTTAACATAATATTGTACTAAGAATATCATTAAAATATAACATGAAATATAAAAAACATTGTAAATATAATTAAAAAAATACAAAATTATCCTAATAATCGCATTTCCTAAAAATCACTACGGTAGTGATTTCGGAATCCTACATCTGACTCTAATTTTATTTTAGGCCCTTATCCCGCCTCAAAATTTTTTATTTGAAAAAGATATATATATCATTTTTGATAGCTCCTAATCTCGTGATTCTAATTATCGTTTTATTAGAAGAATAAACTTTATATTTTAAGCCCTGCCATTTATTTGGCCCAAACGATCGGATTGCGACCTTGATTTTAAAATTATTTCGGACCGAACTCGGAGTCTGGCCATCATTAATAATACATTTTTAGCATCCTTCATTTCATGAAAAGGTAACACATTATTTCAAATAATCTTCCTTGTACTTATTTTATTCAAAATAATTCTTCTGAGAAAGAAAAAATGATAGATTGCATGTTTTCCATGCAATAAAGCACCTTCAATTTTACAATTTGAAATTACAATTTTCATAACAAGAAATTTGTTAAATTACCAAAAGTGTACTGTTTTATAGTATCGTCAGTAAAAAAAAAAGCAGTTACTAACAGCGTTACTTTTCATCCCAAATATCAGGCAACGACCTTAATTTTTTATATTTTAATCATTTTTATTTGAATATTGTTTCTGTTAAAAACATTTATAGAATATAATATACTCTTGTCATTCCCAGCACCTATTGAACGGGTGTTCAGTACAGAAAAGTCAGTGCTGTGATTGTTTTTAGGATAAAAACTTTGGAAAACATCTTTATTAAAAATTAATTATTATATTCTAGAATATTCATAATAATAAATATCTGTTATTTCTTTGAAATTTGGGATCTAATAAAACGAAAACAATTTATACAATCTTGGAAATGTAAAGTAAAGGAAGTTAGTTTTTAAAAAAGTAACATATACAACGACTTTACTACTTTACAAAGTAAAAATTTAACCACGTTACTTTTTTGAATAATCTCGATAACCCTACAAAAATGACTTTAAAAATAATAATCTTTGTTGCATTCAATAGCTTAACATTGTTTACTTGTTATAATTATGATTCTATGTCGTCAGAAGAAATATGTATGTTTGATATAATTAAGATCATATTTGGAAAATTGCTGATCTTAAATGATAAATTTATATATTAAATGATAGTCAATTAACTAAACATATAATATAAATTATACCCTACCCAATGATATATAAAATTTATACTACTAGATTGGCGATTCTAATTGAAAATGTTCTTACATCAAAGTCAGCTGTAGCGCCATTTTATAAGGTTTCGCGTCGACTAATTGTCTTATCGATCATTGTATTAATATCATTATCGAAGTGCAAACCATAAAATGGTGCTATGATTCCTATGTATGTTATGCCTAAAAAAACGAATTAAATTCTATTATTTGTATTCCAATAATTATAAAAATATCCATTCAATATACTTAGCTTTATTCCATTCTTTTAAACGAAATTATAAAAAAAACATGCAGAGAAAATAAAAAATGAAATATTAATCCAGTAGGAAAAGAGGTTTAATTATTTACTTCTTATTTTACTAATGATTACTGACAGAATAATAAAATATTGACGAAAAATTCCGAAACAAATAATACGAATAATTTCGAAACAATAAAATTAATTCTATCTAATAATAGAAAGCATATTATTCGACGAATATTTTTTTTCTTTATTAATATTTGATTCAAATTTTCAGATCATATAATACATCATTGACTTAGTGCATCACCGAATGGTGTTTTTGTCTAAAATGTGAGGTAATAAAAATGTAAACTACGAAGATGCCTTTACAAAATTTAGTAAAGTTGATAAAAAAAGTTAAACCCCGAAAATCTAGCCTATTTGGAATTTTTTTTGTCCCAAACTATAGTTATAAAAATAGCCACCATCCGAAAAAATATTATGCGAACGATCTTTCAAAGATAATTTAAAAAAATTATACTAAATGAAATTTTGAAAAGAAAAATATTTAAAATTTTGGCATAAGTTTGCATAGTTAGGAAAAGTCGTATAATCAAATTGGTAACTTTATTCACAACAAGCACAATACTGAAAAATTGATAACACAATTAAAAAATAGAAATATATCTATTTTGTTCAAATAAATATTTAAAATTTTCTTTATAATTTAATGAATCTAATAATTTAATCTGATGTTCTTTATTGCATTTGCGTAATCACGGTTTGCTAATTCATGCAAAAAGCTTAAATTTAACATAACAAAATTAATAAACACATTTTATATAATATCTTTATTCTATAATATAGGGTTTTAACCAGGGAGGAAGGGTATTCTTAATTTTTTCATAACGTTTTGGGAACATGAACAAAACTTCTAAATCTATTTCATTTATCATATTGACATTAAATCGAAAATTTTTATTATTTTTCCCAGACGCATATATGCGAATATAAAATTTTGTCAACATAATTATTCTACTTATTTGGTAGATTAGCATTATTTAAAAAAAATATCTAATTTATTAATGAAATTGAGAGGCTCCTTGGGTGAGAAAAAATAATGATAAAGGATGTACAGGATTTATTACCTAGCTATTCTATATTACCTCATCTATTTAATAAAAAATATATTAATGAAAAAATATTATATAATAAAGTTTATGTACATTGACCCTTAATTTTTTTATGTTAAAAAATATCAAATAAATAAACTCTGTCTAGTCATCGTCTGAGGAGAAAAAAGGGCAAAGCAGGATGAATCATTATGAATTTTTATTTAATAAAATCTTGAGTCTTGTTTTTTTTATTAGCAAAATAGATTATGGTAATTGGGTTGAGAAAAATTTCTCCTTACCTTTATTGATAAACACCTTCTAAAAATGCAAATACTCATTCATACTTAAATTTTTTTGTATAAAATAAAAATATTTAACAATCAAGTATAAATGTACTTTATTTATTATTTTTTGCATCTTTATAAAAATTACATTTTGCTTTTTGCACTACCCTATTTTTATTAGAGAATTTTTTCTTGTGTCTGTAATTTTATTGGGATAAATAATATTATATTAAAAGGTTATTGAAACGCATAAATAAAATTTTTTTTATCGTTTTCACATAATTTTTATAATATAAGCTAAGCCCTCCCCTACCCCTTCCAAATTTTTTTTGTGAACTATGATCGATTTCAATTGTACCCACTTATTTTTTCATTGTTTATATTTTTTTATATGTAATTATTGCATTCATAATAGATAATAAAATATTGAATTTTTTAAAACCCCCCTTTATAAATTTTTCCAAATAAAATAATTTGGATAAAAAGGATTATATATTTTTTTTTTCGTAATAATATTTTTAAAAAAAATGAGCCAGCGTAATTTGTAATTATTTTATTTATTTTTTGTAGTTCATTCATTTTTTAAAAAAAAACGTTTTTTTTATGATTATGCCTTGTGTTTGTGTTTACGAACATATTTTGTCTAAATCTCAATTTGAACCATTTTTGGGCTGGTTGATTTTTTTATCTTCTAATTATTAATTATATACCTACGTGTTAGATACATTTTTTTAAGATCGATTTCTTGAAACAAAAAAAATTCTATAGGGCACTAAAAAATGGAGCCTTCAATTGTATCCGCGGTTGATTTAATCCTTAAAATGATATTAGATTTAGATAACCATACAAAACACTAGTCTATCCCTGTCATTTAAGACTGAAAAATATTTACCAAAATCATCTAATGGACGTGCTTTATGTCAAACAATTAGATAAAAATTTTAAAAATGCCGAATACTTTAAAAAGAATGATAATGCTCAAATGTCCCTTGTCGAAAAAATAGATAATCATCACCATGTATCTTTATACAATCTTTTGAAGGAGTCGAACAAAAATATTTCGTCATTTCCCGGAACCTTAAATGCCCTATTTTCGCCGGACAAGCATATCGATTTAAAATACGATGTAAAAATTGATGATAGAGTTGTTACCCAAAAAAGGGATGAGTGCAATAATCTAAAGAAGAGACGGATGCTAGCCGCTTTTTCCAAATACGATACCCATAACCAAACCCGCAATAGTTTATACGATACTATTAAGGATATATCATTACCTGACCGATCTTTTGTTGATAGTGTCCCTATCAATGTCAATGAATATATCACACTTTCAAGAAATAATGTTATAAAGCACACTTCCGATAAAATTTGTTATCCAATAATTCAAAAATATGATCTATCTAATAGAAAGAATGAGAATTCCAATCAAACGATTCATACTAATATTGAAGATACATCGAAAATAAGTATAATCAATAATTATTTTTACTTTTATATATAATATATTAATTTTTTAAAAATAGATACCGCTAAAGATTTTAGTATACTGCCAACTAAAAGTTCCCATTCAAATAATCTTTTGGTAAAATGTTTATAATATGTGTTTTATTTTCTATTTACTAATATTTTTTACTATAGTTTTTACTCGATAATAATCCTATAAATGCCAAAAAAGGAGAATACCAAATAAGTTCCCAGAAATTAAAGCTAAATTTTGAATCTAATATCAATCATCTTGATGGAAATCTGATCAAAGATATAATAAGTAGTAAAAATATAAATGTCAGTTGTAAATATTCAAAATATCATTTTAGATATTGACATTCCGAAAAACAAATTGGATCCTCCCGTTACGGATAATGCCCGCATGTATTGGGAAAATTATATTAAACAAATGATGATTTATAATGACTACAGGGAGTCTCGAAATAATGTAACTGGCTCAGATTTCAACAAAGATAAAAAATGCCATAATGATTATGTTAATGATAGAAGAATACGTGCAACTAAGTTAGAACCACATTCCTCATCCCCGTCATCTTCTAATAACGAGGTTTTACGTTAAATATGATCCTTTTTGGTCCGTTTTAATTAAGTTTTGCAGATTATTAAATGTAGCAAAAACACCAATTATATATTTTTTTTAAATTACAGTATTTCATAAAGAATATTTTTTCTTTTTAGCCTCCTACAAGATCTCAAAAAACGGCACAAGTTTTATACGAACATTTATTATGTGCTATTCCCAAAAACAATCATGATTATTCCAACGATCAACCTTTGAATTTAACCAAATCGACTACTAAAACTAATTCGAAACGACAGCTTTCTCAATCAACATATGCGAAAAGGAAAAATCTAGTCATCAACGACCCCCAAAGAACGATCACTACATATGTGGATCATTTTAATAGTGAGGATACTTCACCCGATTTCGATAAAACCGGTGACGAATGTAAAAAAAATAACACATTCACGTCTATCACTAATTATCCGAGTGTTCCATCACATTGCTACAATTATGACGATGCTATTACTGACCCTGTGTTTGCCAAATTTCTACAAAGCTCGCATTCTTACGTTTTACAACCGGTCGCTCCTAACGTCTCCCCATATTTGTATGGCTCCTTGTATTACAATAAAATTCCATACCTGAGTAAGGCCGTCTCAGGGTCATTTTTAGAGCCAATGGGTGATTTTAATCTTTACGAAGACACTGGTAAAAATATTGAGACCCATTCTTCCTCCGATCATGTTTATAAAAAAATGGATGAATTCGCCAAATACTACCAAAACATGAACCCATTTTATGTAAATCCTTCAAGTTTTCTCCAATCTTTCATGCTAAACAATGAATTATGGGCAGCCTCAACTTGGAATCACAGTATAATTGAATATTAAATTATTAATAATCATTTTAAATTATATTTAAAATTTAGATGAAACAGAACCTGAAATTAAAATTTCTCAGTCAAGTATAAACACGGCATCAATGGACCAACGCTCAAACAATGTTACTAACATGTCACCTACTTCTGAGATTAACGACGATATTAAAATTATGCCTGAAGATTTATCCAATGGTTTTGCCTGGCTTCATGATAATAGTTCTGTATCTTCACACTTTTCATCCGAAAGCTTCGAAAATGGCAATAACTCACATAACTTGAGTTATGATTCACCAAAGGCTAATGCTCATAATAATGACCATTCCGGAATTCTTAAAATCGAAGACGATAACAATGTTATTGGGCAGAAAGGCGGGAAGGATATCCTAAATACCGATGTGAATATATAAATTTATAAATCATTAAATTTTTTAAATATAATCCGAAATTTTTAATAAGGCATCAGCAAACTATTTATGTATTCCCAAATTTCATATGTTAAAAGTCTGGTGTCGATTTAACTTTCGAAGAAGAAGCTCAATCAATTAACAAAAAACCATATGATTCGCTGGTTAACGATGGTATAGATCAATACAACGAAGACAAATATAAAGATGGTAAAATTTTTATTTTTTTCATAAATCATCCACTTATTTGAAATATAAATAGTCCTTCCAAATTTAGGGCTTCCAATGCTGTATTTAAATGCATATAATGCAAAATTATATCGTCCAAATTGGTTAAATCTTGATTTTGCGTTTAAAAAATACGTAAATATATTTGAGTTTTTATGTTTTAATATTAATTTTACCTAAAAATTTTGAAGAATTATAAACGATCACATAAATGAATGATATAATATTCACATAAAGCAAAGTGCACATATAATTTCTTCACTAAATATATTTTATAATCAAAAAAAAACATTAAAGACTTTACTAGCGACGCCGTAAAGCGACTGGTACGACGCTGGAAGGGAACGGAAGATTTTTTATGGGAAGAAGACCAAAATCTTTCATCTTCATTAGCGAATCCCACTTTAACATTGTTTAAAAACGTATCTCAGCATTTAAATAATGATAGTGTTCACCACAACGATAATAATAATAATCAGAGTCAATTAAACGGAAGGCCGTGTAATAAAGATGCCCGCTTGGCTCTGGCGCTTTCCTTGCCTTTCAGTATAGAACGTATAGTTACTTCCCCCATTGACACATTCGGTGAAATGTTGAGGAAGAGCGAACTCACGCTCGAACAGATAGGATTAGTAAGAGATATTCGTAGACGGGGAAAGAATAAAATAGCCGCTCAAAACTGTCGAAAGAGGAAATTAGACCGTAAATAATAAGAATCAATGACATAACAACTTAGACCTGGCGTTCCTAGCTAATTTCTTTAAATAGCCGTTTTTTAATAAAACATAAAAACTAGTTTTTCATTCAAATTAAAAATGGCTCAGTTGTTAGGTTATTATTAAATATTTTATTTATATACTGGGTTCAATTAAATTATAATTCGAAGTAGAATAGTTGCAATATAACGATATCGGATATGATCGTTCTATAACAATATAAAATGAAAGTTTTTATTATTAAAGGTGCTAGAGCTACAAATAGGGTTGCCAGATTGTGAAAATGGGGTGTATGACTTTTTAACCTTCATTTTATTTCTTTCATTCAACATTTTAAGATCAAAGTTTCGAGCTGAGATAAATTTTAGCAACCATACCTCTTAAAATTTATACGAACCGGAACCCAATCGGTTCTTACTGAAATTCAATTAATTTATATAATATGGTTTAAAATAACGTATAGTTTAATTTTTTTTAGAATTTCATTGGTTATTAACAGTTTAGAACCAAGAAACTGCTTCATATCTAAGAACCTGGACTTCTCAAATTTGTTATAAACTAGAACCATCTTTTTATTTCAGATTCCAAACTTTGATTAATATAATAATTTACTTGATTCTGGTTGTCAATAATATTATTTATTTAATGCATCAAAATAAAATTATAATATATTCAACTTGGCAACCCTATTGTAATATAAAATAATTTTTTTAAACCAAACTTAAGGCTGTGTTATTTAAATTTTGCTATCATTCGGACTCTCGCATTGAATTTAGATTTTTGATTTTTTTTCGAATAAGTGTGGATAGTTGAGAAAAAATTATTAATTGATAGTTTATTCATCCAATTTTTCTTGTTAACTTTTTTATGTAATGATAGTGATCATGTATTTGGGTCAAAATGTGGACCATCTTAAAAAGATGCGTAAAAGATTGTCGGAAGAAAGACAAGATTTGGAGTCCGAAATAACTAATTATCACAAAAAAATATCCCAATTGTTCCTAGACAATTTTTCAGCCTATAGTGATCACAACTCTTGTGATATTCAGGTTTAATCAAAATTTTATCTATTTAAATCAAAGCATTTAAAAGAAATTTATAACGTTCATGACTCCACTATCTCTTACAGTCGTGATAATAGAAAAATAAAACAGAAAGCCTATCTCCCCCTCCCCTGTAACCTTTCTCCATTCAAAAAATATTTCAGGAAATATAATAGTCAAATTTAATATACCTAAAAATGCACAAGTTTAACTTTAACATTTAAAAGGAGGTGAGGGTTTTTTTTACAGGAAAATATTTATTATTTTAATTTAGATTCACTTATACACCAGTGCAATACGGAATTATATTAAATTTTGGATATATAAAATAATAATACCTAAGGATTTTTATCGATTCAAGCCCATTTATCGACTAAGGGATCGTGTCTTTTTTTTCTTTAGATATTTCTTTTTTTTCTTTAGATATTTCTTTTCGATGGTTTTATTTCTTAGGTATTTTTCCAGGAAATGCATGCTATTTAATCAAGCATTTTATTTTTAAACGAGGCATATAAGCTGTCTATATATATTTATTAGAGAAGCATTATTTGATCGATACTTTTAATTTCTACCCAAATTAAATCATTTTCCCATATTTTTATAAATTATCTTAATTCTTTTATTTTTGGCCCAATTTATAACAATTTTTTGTCTCAAGCCAAGCCCAAAATTTTTAAATGAAAGGTATAAATTAACATTTTCATAAGTTTAAATTAAATAAAAGCACTAATTAATTTGTCATAATCTCGGAGATGTTATAATTATTTTTAATGAAAGATGCAACATTAACCCTTCAATACTCTGGTGGGGTATATGAGACCCCAGGCTTGCTAGAATTGATATTACATAAAAATGATTTATTATTATGATCTGGAATTTTTAGTAGCTTCATCAAATATATTTTAGAATCTATATTCCAAATTTCATATATTTTGGCTGAATAGTTTTTAAGATATAAACATTTTGTGACTGATTGGGGTTTGTGAGACCCCACCAGAGATAATTATTTTATTTTTCAAATTATTTTTATATTTATTATGATTTTTACATATTCTGAAAGTAAATATAATAAAATTTATTTAAGCATTTTACATATATTTGAGTTGGATATGAAAAAATAACATTATTATCATATCCAAAGAAAGAAAAAGATGTCAAAATGCTATCAACTTTATAATAATAAAAATGTTGATACAAATGATACAAGAAATCCTGAAATTATAATATTTTATAATATGACTTAAGGTAGGTTAGATATGGTGTATTGAATGACAAAAAATGCTACAATTTTAAGCAGGTCTTACACACTTCTAAACATAATATCAATTAATTCACATCATATAGCAAAATAAAAATATCCACTTACAAGAAGTAATTTCATATATAAAATATCAATGGAACTTATTATGCTATATTTAGTACAACAAAAATTATCAGATTGTCCTGACTTTTGAAGGAATCTATATGCAATATATTAGGCAAAGTTCATAATATAAATCTTATCCACTCAAGAGGAAGGTACAGTATGTGTCCTAGCAGTAAAGATGAGAAAACTAAATATTTTTGTCAAATATGGGGAAAAAAATTATGTTTGGAGCATATTAATGCTTTATGTGATTAGTCAAAATTTACATATTTCAATGTCCTATATTTTTTTATTTTTGCATGTATTAGTGTAAATCTTGTTTTATATTGAAGAATAAATATCAACATAATGAATTATAATGATGATATGATAGGTAAATTATTTTTCAATTTAAAATTTAATAAAAGTTGACTTTTTTAGAAAATTTTGGCACAAATTATAATTATCCTCATTATTTTTAATCTAAGAATAATAAATTCAAATAAATAAATATTTTATCAAATTTGTGGTTTATTCTATCTTATATCCAAATATTAAATCCAAAGGAGATATATACATTTGAAATTGGGGTCTATTAAAACCCACCAGAGTAATGACGTTATTCCTTCACCCGAGTATTGAAGGGTTAATTTCTATTTTTAATCCTGACCGACTTGCATTGCTCTAATTTAATCGTTACTAAAAAAATATGTTTATTTTATATTATGAATTAGTGAAATAGAAAAAAAGTGATATAAGGAGCATCTGATATTTATATAAATTAATTCAGTATTAAACATTAAAATACTTTATAAAAACAGGATTACAATATAATACTCGGGACAAAGGGACGCGGTTCTTTTATAAACAAAAAAACATCCATTTCCGAATACGAATTTATTTGGGAACCCAAAGAATGAAATTTTATGCCAAAATATTTTTTTTTATTAAATAATCAAAAGTGCAAAGTTTATGGATTTTATTTCATCTTGCATTCTCTTATTTGTATTTATATATAAATTATTTTTAAATAACCCCAGTTTATACAATTATTGCCCCAATATTAATGTACAATTTTATTTTGTCCTAACTTGTTTGCACTATATTAATTAAATTTATTTTAACAATGCAAAATATTCTTTTCCTTTTTTGGGGATCTTTTATTATCAAGAAATAATGTGTATTCTTTTCCATGCCAAATTCTCTTGAAAATACATCTCTTACCCTTTCTGTAATCTTGACTATTCATAAGATAGCATAATCAAATTTATTGTACTATAAAATTAATAGGGTAACAATTTAATTATATTATTGTAACCATTGATTATTAAAATTTTATAAAATTAAAATGCGCCGTAAATTTTTTTTTTCAATAAAAAATATTAGACGAGAATGACAATAACAAATCTTTATAACTTTTGCGCCTTCAAAGATAAAACTCTGAATTATTATATTAACGTTAATGTAATGGATTACTAAGGGTTTTTTATAATCATCAATTTGTTCATTTTAACAATTCTGCCTATGTGTTTATTACAACGAAAATGTATTATATTTGTTCAATATTTTTAATCTTATATAAATATCTATCTTATACCAAATATATTCCTTTTTATTGAGATATTTTAATTTAGGTTTATAATTAATTAATAAATTATTTATAAATAAAGTTGCCTTTTAGGAATTTATATCAAGCCTCTTTTTTTTAAATTAAGGTTCGGGCTAATAATTGGTACTAGTTAAAGAGTTGAACCGATCTTAAATTTAATGAGCGAAAATTTAAAAATTAGTCCCAAACAGAATACAACTATAGATCTGCACATCATAACAAATAAACTTATAGAAGAGATTGGCGACGCCACTGTCAAAATTTTTAAAAAATGAATAAATTTTTTTTCTTTACAAAAAAACGATGGCCTGATTTTAACGGGCCAACCCCGTATAAAAATTTCCTATTGGGAATTGTGTGAAAAGTGTTCAAGTATATAGTATTATAGTTTCTTCCCTTCCATGCAAGCAAAAATTATTGTTAAACGCTATTCCCCAAATGTAATAACTGATCTAATATTGAAGCATAAATATTTGGTACAACTTCTGGATAATAAATAAAACCATTATTATTTAATTTAAAATATACATTATATCTAATAATTTAAATTGACATGATTTATATAGAGTCTTGATAAGAGCAAATCTTGCCTCTAATTGCTAGGTTTTTGACTTGAATTTCTATACGATAATATAAATAAGTTATAGGTTAGATTTTTTTATTATCATTTGATATAATTATCTGGGACCTGGGTTTTAAAATGGGAGCATGCTATTCCCCAAATTCTCGCATTATTTTTTCCACCTTACCAAAGTTTATTTACTAATATTTATAAGCAATTAATATCTCTAATTCCTTTTTGAATTTATTTTTAAAATAAATATAAATCTCTTTAACTATATTGGTGTTAACTATGATTTTTATCTAAAGCTTTCATTTGTGAAATATAGAAATATAAGAAACGCCTAACATTATTTTATAATATAACTCTTATATGTTTTAGAGATATCATATTAACTAATAATTTACATCATATTCTAGAAAATATTACGCAAGGTTATTTCCAGGCGGAACTTTTTTCAAAGCAATTTTTGGGTAATGTTATCAATCTTTATTTTCATACAAAGGATACTAACTTGACATTAATTTTTTTATATAATATAATATTTAAAAAAAAAACAATCCAGATTCCCATTTTTTTAATCGGAAATAGAAAACAAACTAGTTGGATTTTAATAACGATTAAATGACGACTTGAAATGAGGCTCCGGAGATTGCTTTTAGCATTACCCAAAAACCGCTTTGAAAAAACGTGTCTGGAAATGACCCAAGTCTGATAATGTTGCTCTTAGATGGCATAAAGGCATCTATTAGCTAATTCTTGAGGCTTAGGCAATATTTTTTGGTTAAAATATTGAGTTAGCTGTTTTTAAAAATAGGCTCAAATCGAGCCATTTAATAACACTATCTGAATCATTAATAATTTTTATAATCTAACATTTATAAAATAATGCTTTACGTAAAAGTTTGTAAATACTCGCTGACATTTTATTAAATAGTTAAAATTTATTTTGAAATTTGTTTCGAGAAATTGATTGGAAGGAATAACAAGAAATTATCCTCATTGATAAGGAAAATTTTAGCGATAATTTAATTAAATATAAATCAATATCTAATTTTCTTCCTAGATGTCAATTTTAACTTTATTTCAATTTTCATGAACTAATTCATATTTCGAGTTTTTCGAATTGATAAATTTTGTATTAAGTTTTTATAATTTAATTTGAGGGAAGCCTATGCTCGTGTGGCAGGACTGTACCAATTGGAAGTTCTAATGAAGCCGGCTTTAGGAGAATCGGGATTAATATCTACTACATAATATGGTCCCCTAAGGATCTCCGCATCATTCTTTGGAAAATGGGGGTAGAGGGTAGAAGGCACTGAAAATAAACTCTCCTTATTAAATCCAATTTAGACAAACATTACAAAACTAACAAAATATTATTAACTTTAACTTGGCGTCTTGCATTTTAGTTACAATCGATTTATTACTAGCTACTGATTGAGTAGTGGATAATGATATTTCGTTACTATGTTCTGCATCTTTAATAAACTTATCAATATTGGGAATAACTTTTTCTTCGTACTTTCCATAGTTTTCAAAAGGGTCATCACTCGTGTGATTTATTTGGATGTTTAAATGGACCATATTCTAAAAATTGAAAGTAATAAAAAGATATACAGTATAGAAATAGAACCCTAATTGATATGTATTAAATTGTTGTCTTGTTATTTTTGTATTTTTTGTAAAGTGTTTATTTTCATTATTATATATTATCAGATGAATTGAATAACAAAAAATGGAACATTATTTTTTTGATATGAAATAAAAGAAATTAAATTGCAAGAATTCTTTTACTACTAAAGATACATTACAAGAATGGCGCAGTCGATAAAAAGTCTAAATGATTCAAACCTGTGTTACAAAGTTATGACTTATTTAAAGAATTTAAAAGCACACAACCAAGGTTAACATCATCACAATGTTATTAACATCAATAAGATGTGATACTTATAAAATATTGGTAAATTTATGCGCACCAGATAGTCCAGAAAATAAGAGGTATTAGAAATACATAACATTTTAATGAAATTTTTTCGTCCTACTCTAATTATAATTGTAGAAAGATATAATTTTTATCAATATAATCAAAAAAATGAGGAAAAATTAATAGACTATATATAAAATCTTCGAAAATTAGCATCGACTTGTGAATTTGGGGAATATTTAAATACTGCATTAGGAGATAAATTTATAGTCGAAATAAAAAATCCTAAAATTTTACAAAGATTATTATCTGAAGATGATATAGACATATATAAAGCTGTTCAAATAGCTACTGCAGCAGAAACATCTATAAAAAATTAATACTTAATGATGAAACTAAAATCGATCAGTTAGAAGGGGAATATAATGATATTATAAATAAAATTAAAAAAGTTATTATGATAACCGATCAAAATCATATAATAATTATAATACGGGCTACAAAAAACAAATCCCTGCCACTCCTGCGGCGGAAACCATAGAAGAGAAAATTATATTTTTAAAAATGCCACTTGTTATGAATGCAACAAAATTGGGCGCATTGTTCGAGTCTGTAGAAAAGAAATAGGGAATTTTATTAATACAACAAACGAATATAATCAAGAATTTTGGGTGGATGTCAAAATAAACAACAGCGATATCAGAATGGAATTAAATACTGGAGCTGGAGTAAGCATAATTAACGAATAGATTGGAAAAATAAACTTAATCGTCCTGGATTAACAAATTGCATGCTAAAACTTAAAAGCTATACAGGAACCGATATACCACTATTAGGTCAGACTGTAGTAATAGTAAAATATAAAGGGCGAACATTAAAACTACCACTCATAATTACAAAAGGATATACAAAAAATCTAATTGGAAGAAAGGATGATTAAATTTCCCCAAAATGACTAAAATACCTGAAAGGATCATACAAATAAATAAAAATAATATACAAAATGAATTTCATCAATTATTTACCAAAGAATTGGGCTGCTTAAAAGATTTTAAGGCCAAATATATATGAAAAATGAGAAACCAATTTTCTGTAAATCACGTCCAGTACCATATGCCTTAAAGGATAAAGTTGAAGAAGATTTAGACAGATTGTTAAAAATAGGAGTAATAGAAAAAATTAATCATTCACTTTATGCATCACCCATAGTAATTGTCCAAAAGAAAGATAAAACATTACGAATTTGCGATATAAATCAAAATATTAATATTGATTCATACTCAATACCAAGAATCAAAGATTTATTAGCTAGTCTGGGAAAAGGAGAGGAATTTTAATATTGGATCTCTCAGATGCCTATTTCCAAATTAAAGTAGGGGAAGAGTCTCAAAAATATCTTGTAATCAATAGAATAGAGGATTTTAATATGCAAGACTACCTATTGGTATATCGTCTTCTCCAGCAATATTTCAAAGAGCCATCGAGAATTTATTAAAGGGTTTTGAATGAGTAGCTTGTTATTTAGATGATATTATAATAACCGGGAAAAATAAAGAGAAGCACGAAACAACTTTAAAAAAGGTACTTAAATGTCTAGATGAAAATGGAATCAAGCTAAAGATAGAAAAATGTAAATTTTTCATACAAAATGTCGAGACTTAGGACACAATAAAAACGGGATTACAACTACCGAAAAAAATAGTGAGGCAGTAAAAAAAGCACCAGAACCAACAAACTTGAAACAATTACAGTCATTTCTAGGGTAAGCAACATACTATTCAAAATTTATTTCAAATTTTGCAGCCAAAGCCAAGCCATTATACAAATTATTATAAAAAGCAGTTGTTTGGAGATGGAATAATGAATGCAAAAAGGCGTATAAAGAAAATAAAGTAAGAAATAAGTAGTACTCTTACAACATTATAATCCAAAATTATCCATTATATTAGCAACAGATGCATCAGTCATAGGAATTGGGGCAGTAATGCCACACATAGAAGGAGGTAAGTAGAGACCAGCATTCGCCTCAAGAACGCTAAATGCAGCCGAGAAAAATTATAGCCAAATATAAAGAGAAGCTCTTGCCATCATATTTGGGGTTATAAAATTCAATATATATGGAAGAAAGTTCGCATTACAAACAGACCACAAACCATTAAAGTTATTTCATGATTAAAGGAGCATAGTCAAAGGAGAGAGGAAATTACTACAGTAAGAGGTTGTTACTATGGAGAAGTAAAATGATAATACCACAACAATACCGAAACAACGTGTTAGACCTGATACATCAAGAACATATTGGAATTGTAAAAATGAAGGTGAGAGCAATACAATAC